CCGTGGAAGACTGTATACACCTTCCCTTTATCAACGAGGAACTCGTTCGTTTTCGAGTGCACCATGCGAGACACAGCTGCATCAGTCGGTTCTTCATCATGCACTAAGAATCGATAAATCTGCCCGATGAAAGGGTCCTCCTGCTGCATGCGGGAGACCTCCTCATCCGTCGGCCACAACATTGTCGGCTCGCCTTCCAACGGGTCAGCTACATCCGCTGACTCATCAACCGGATCTGGGAAAGGATCATCTTCATCAAGGCCAGCCACTGCACTGTATGCATCCCAAAAGGACGCACCAGTGAGTGCACTGATGTTGGCGAAGCGACCATGAGGCTTCCGCGAGAGCGCGTCAGCATCACGGTGCATCGACCCTTGTTTGTGTCTCACGGAGAAATCCATGTCTTGCAGCAACAAGCTCCAATTCTGGATCATCCGATTTCTGTCTCGTTGTGAACGGATCCACTGAAGCGCAGAATGATCCGTCGTGTGTGAGTGTCTGTCGTGTGTGTGGAGACCAAAGCTTAACGTGTCCCTATCGCTACGTTCCCTCTTTATCGCTACGTGTAAGTATGTGTGTCATCGCCCTGCATACATACATACACATTGTTAGGCAAAATTGAGGGGCTTGTGTCATTCTCTTTCCACCTGTGTGTTCTTTGGTCGGGTGCCGTGGAGTCTGGTGGGCAGGACCTTGCTGACCATGGCCATGTTCTCAAAGGCCTCCGTCACCTCGCCGACCAGCTTGAGCACCTCCTCCTTGCCACTCCAGGCCTCCAGCAGCGCCGCACCGTACTCATCGACACCTGCAAGCACCGACAGCTCCTTGACCGACACAATGGTGCTCGCCTGGAAACCATGACGGCCACTGGTGGCGTGGAAAGTTCCCGCACGCACACTGTAAGACATATACGAACAGACAGAATGCACGCGATTGAGCTCAAGATGGACCCTTCCAAACCATAAAGACGAGGATCCCGGCGATTGAACCGGCCCCGTAAAGCCAGACTGAACGACGAGGCAACGTATTTCCCATGAAGCTGCAGCATGCTCGTCGTAGCGCAGTTTGTTCCGACACGCCGCGGCTTAAAGTAATGAGGCTGCACGACGACTCGCGGAAGTCGGTCGGCCTCGTGGGAGTCACGATGTTCGCTATCTGAGTGGGACAAAAGACAAGGGGATCGAGTTCAAGGCTGAGCCAGGCAAGGAAGGTCGGATTGATCTGACTGCCTTCTCTGACTCGTCTTGGGCTGATTGTGTGGGTCGCAAGTCTAGTGGTGGTCATGTGGTGTTTGTGTGTGGTGGACCTGTGTATTGGAGTGCGAAGACTCAGCCACTGGTGACGCTTTCGTTAACGGAGGCTGAATACGTACAGATGAGTGAATGTGCCACTGCCCTCGTATATCTGGCGTCATTTTTGCGTGGCATACCTCTTTTTGGTGTTCGGTTTGGGAGTGCATATCTTATGGCTGATAATAGGGGAGCTATCCTGAGCGCACAGAATCCGATAGTCAGTCACAGAACGAAACACATTGACGTGCGTTATCACTACATACGTCAGCTAGTTCAGTCAGGCTTTCTCGCTGTTCGATACGTACGTACCAGTGAGAACATAGCTGACATACTCACGAAGGGACTTGGGCGTGAAGCGCACAAGTACCTGAGTGAGAGAGTTACAGGCAGGGTTAGATGGCAGTGAGTTTGTTGAAACGTGGAAGGGCAACAAGGGATGAATGAGTCTGCATCTGTGTACCTCCTTGGTGTGTTGTGGTCACTTGGGAAGGAAGGCCATCGTGGATGTGTTGTGATATGCTGTAACTGTTCCATCTGTGCACACACCACACCATTCGTGCTCATGCTTATGCTGATCTGTGCACTTGTCCACTGTGTGTGCGCGTTCGCTACCCAATGGTCATTTTCTGGATGCCTTTGTGCTTTCTTCGTGATTTTCTTTTCCTGAGTACACGCCGTGCTGGTTCGTCTTGAGAGGGGGTGTCAGGATTGCCAGCTTGGCAAGACGAACCACTGCGAGCTTGTGAGCTAGGGTAGATTGCTGTGTAACGGGTGGAGAGAGGAGAAGACAAGGAAAGACAAGGAAAGCATTCTGAGGAGACACGATCTTATCAGCCATCACCGAAGTGAGATCTGTGTTGACCACCCTTCATGATGCCATACATGGACAGAAACAACTTTGACTGACTGGCCAGTCCATCGGTCTTATTAAAGTAAAAGCACTCTTACTCTGGGACTTACCGCCCAGCAGATCCTCTATTCAGCTAACTACAGGAAAGGTCCTCACCGGCCTTTTCGCACAAAACCCACGGCCGTCCGCTGAATACGAGTCGTTTGCTGGACTAAGTCGTAAGAATCGTGCGAGCTCGGAAAGGAGAAGCCGGAAACTTGCGAGGAATCGGCGCGATGGCCGAGGAGGAGGAGGCTCCCCCTCCGCCCTACACGCTTGAAACAGCCAAGGGCATGCTGACCCGCTCGCGCGGCTTCACGGGCAAGGGCAAGGCGACGTACAAGCTGGATGAGGAGGTCATCGAAACATACGAGGGCGACTTCGACGACGCCATCAGACAGGGCAAAGGTGAGTGCGTGCGGAAAGCAAGAGGGAAGAGACCGGAAGAGAGCAGAAAGAAGGCACACCAAGCACACCGCACGCAGAACAAATGGACCCTTCTCTCTCTGTTTCCTTCCCTCCCTGTGTTGTGTATGTCTGCAGGATCGTACGTGTACAAGAACGGCGACAAGTAAATCGGCGGCTTCCACGAGAACTTCAAGCAGGGCCTGGGTCGGCTGACGTGCAAGCCGCCGCCTGCCGAGGAGGAGGGCGAGGAGGCGAAGCCCAAACGGGGCGGGCGGTACTACGGCCAGTACGTGCAGGGGCTGCGGGACGGGTCGGGCACGTTCCACTACGCCAACGGCGACGTTTAAAGCGGCGACTGGAAGGAGGGCAAGAAGCACGGATGAGGCAACTACACCTTCGCCAAGGACCAGGTGGGCGGATGGATGGATGGGCGGGTGGGCGGCTTCGTGAGTGAGGCTTTCTCTCTCGTGTGTGTTGTGTGTCCTGTCTTGTTGTGACAGGCCAAGTACGAGGGGACGTGGGCCAACGGCAAGTTCCAGTCCGGCCGCTGGATCTTCCCCACTGGTAGACTCGACTCAGGCAGCTAACGCAAAACACACCCACCCAAACACCCACCAACACACATGCCTCCCTCTCTCACCCTCTGGGCCCCCCCCCCACATCCCGGCATCTTCTACGTGGGGGGTTACCGGCACAACAAGCCCAACGGCGAGGACGGCAACCAGCTGGTGAGCGACTAGACCCAGGCGCTCGAGGCCGTCGGGGCCGAGGAAGCCAAGGAGGAACCCGCCGAGGGCAACGGCGCGGTGGGGCCCCCGTCAAGGAGCCCAAAGTGCTCGGCGTACAGTGGGTCTCACGCGAGGCCACGGCTGTTAGGGGCGCACGGCTTAGCGAACGGTAGGTAGAGAGATGGATGGATGAGAAGCCATGGACGGCTTGGTTTGCAGGGGGCGGGGAATCGATATGTGTGATGATTGTCTGTGTGCGCACACCTACACAGGCACGCGTGGGCTTGGAGTGTGTGTATATGATGAATGTCTCCGTGTGCACACCTGCGTGTGGACGCGTGAACTTGGAGTCTGTGTATGTGATAAATGTCTGTGTGCGCACACCTGCGCATGCACGTTTGGACTTGGAGTGTGTGTATATGATGACGTCGCTGTGCGTACACCTGCGCATGCACGTTTGGACTTAAAAGGTGTATGTATAAGGGATGCCTCTGTGCGCACACCTGTGTATGCACGCATGAACTTGGAGTATGTGTATATGATAAACGTCTGTGTGCGCACACCTGTGCATGCACGTGTCGACTTGGAGTGTGTATGTATGAGGAATGCCTGTGTGCGCACACCTGCGCATGCACGCGTGGACTTGGAGTGTATTCATGCATGCGTGGACTCGGAGTGTGTGTATATGATAAATGTCTGTATGCGCACACCGCATGCACGTTTGGACTTGGAGTGTGTATGTATGAGGAATGCCTCTGTGCGTACAGCTGCGCATGCACGCGTGGACTTGGAGTGTGTTTATGCACGAGTGGACTTGGAGTGTGTGTATATGATAAATGTCTGTGTGCGCACACCTGCGCATGCACGTTTGAACTTGGAGTGCGTGTATATGATGAATGTCTCTATCGTGTGGACTTGGAGTGCGTGTACATACACACTTCAAGTTCAAACGTGCATGCGCAGGTGTGCGCACATAGACATTTATGATATACACGCACTCCAAGTTCATACGTGCATCTACATGTGTGCAAGTCCACACGTGCATGCGCAGATGTGCAAGTCCACACGTGCATGCGCAGGTGTGCAATTCCACACGTGCATGGAAGAAGAGGAAGCAGAGCGACTCCGATTGCAAGAATGGAGTCAGATGATGCATGAGAAGAAGGAAGAGAAAAGGAGAGATGAGCATACCTTTCGAGCTGTCAAAGAGCTTCGTGCGTCACGAGAGGGCGTCATCAAAAAGACTACCTAGGCGACGAACCCCAACGACTACACTCTTGGCCATGCCAAGGGGACAGTGATCAGCAGCCTCAAGCGGAAGATATTTGTGGATGCCTTGGAGGAATCAAGTCGCCCCAAGTACAACGCCCTGAAGCAGCTGGATTCGACGCATGAGTTCCTGCAACGTACCGATGAATTCATGGAGAACAAGTACCGGACTGCGCAGCACAGTAAGAATAGCGAAATCACTGACCGCACGAAGAAGGCTCATGAAAACGCTCAGGCAGTCGCATGCGACAATACCGGAGGTGCAAGCCAAGATGATCACCAGTACGTCGCTCCATGGAAGACTGCAACTGAGCTACCTGACAACGTCGAGGCATTCAAGCTCCTCAAGGAATACCCAGCATATTACGAATGGGCTGTCAAGGACCTTAGGGAGCAACACCTTCAGGTCATTGACTCGAACATCCCCAAGGCTGGCCGAGGCCTCATATCTCTTTTACCACTACGCGCATTTGACTCATTCCGAGGCATTAAGGGCGTTCTTCTGCCTGGCAACTTGATGCACATGTGCTTGAACGAATAATCTCGCTGTACTCACCTGCATCTGTGTGCCGTCCAGTGCTGCGACGATCGACTTGTGGTTGTCGGGCGTCCACACACACCAGCCATACTCCACACGGGCACGCTTAATGATGCTCAGTTGCTGAAAAGACACATACACACACACATACATACACACGTCAATGCCTACTGTGCTGTGCTTTCTTACCTGGTCAAACGCATCCAGCATGCACTTGGCACAGACGAAGTTCTTCTTGCCAGTGTGCTTGTTTGCCGTGAACTCCAACACCGATGCAAGCAGGGGGTTGTCGGTCGTCGTCTTCCACTTGGTGGAGTTGTGGTCAGCACACATACGAGCCGACTTGTTGCCGTCACGACAGCGAGGGGCGCAGCACACGATGCTGACCTTCGTGATGGACTTGTTGCACCCGCCGTTGATGTCATACACGTCCTCGTGCATCACATACTGCTCGCCTTCGATGTAGCGGCATGTGTCGCTTGTGTTGACGAAACTGAGAGAGGCAGTGTCGAGGATCTCCTTGACCATTACATCGGGATGCTCAATCGTGCCGTCCTTGCTTTCGCCGAAACGAAGAGGTGCGGTCGAGATCGCACAGCAAAGCTCGCCTTTGGCTTTCAAGGTTGCACACCTCCAATCCGTGCCTCCCGATGACAGCTGAAATTGTCCTTCTCAGCCTCATCTTGGTGATGCTTGTTGTCGTCTTCATCAGTGAAGATTTCTCTACATATTACAGCCAGTGGCCAACTGCGGCCAGTGCCCGAACCAATCATCGACAGAGATCGAATTCGATCTAGCCGTTCACGCCCGGCAGATATCCGTTGTATCCGTTGTGTTCTTCGAGCCTTTTCTGATCCGTTCAGATATGGTTGAAGTTGTTGAAGTGTGAAAGTCGATGGGGGGTGTCGTTCAAGTTTTTCCGCATGTTGCCGATAATGTTGTGCGGCTCCTAGAGCAGCCCCGGCAGCTCCGTGTTGTAGTAACCAACATGACCGGACAGGCGCTGGAGAGACCGGAGATTGAGATGCAATACGGGGCCCAAGTACAGCCAGTTCCAGCGAACACGATCGTTCAGGTAGGTATGGTGGCGTTCTTCTTCCATTACATTCGCACACACCATGCTCCCCTTACCTTTCTTTTCAGCATGGACAAAGCTTCGTAGTGGATGCAGGCGCCGGGGTCGGTGTGTACGGTATAAACGGCGTGATCCGCTTGTGGTGTGTGGATGGGCAAAAGAGGGCCGTGGTGTTGCTTTTGATGTGAAGGACAACTTCGGTAGGGAAGTACAAAGCAACACTGGCAACGATGCGTACATGCATACTACATCCATGTAATACACACATACATCCACGTATGTATCAAGGTAGAAGTATGGACCAGTCGTGTCTTATCTCTCATCAGGCCGCGCGTTGTACTTATACTTAAGGTGGGCCGGCATTGGACGGCAAGAGGTCAACAACTACGACGTGAAGATGTACGAGATGGACGCACATCCTCATCTGATGACAGTGATGCGCGACCACGTGATCGCCAACAATCTAACGCTGTGGCGGCCTCCGCCTCAGAGAGCAGCCCATCCCTACTTCCACAGACCGCTGGACCGGACCACAACTATTGGCCCCGGGGAGCTGGGGCTAGACGGCTGTACAGCAAGATGCTTCATGACTAGTCGTGTCGCGCAATGCCAGCTGTGCGTTACGTTAGAGAGCTCGGAGGGAGGGCACCTATGAAATGATTGCCCTTTTGAATGGGTGCATGGATGCCCCCTTTCCCTTTGCCTGCATGCTTTCTCGTGCCTGCCTGTTTTGCTCCGTATGCCACTCACTTGTTGACATCAGTTTTATCTTGTGCCTCTCACCGTGTGTGCGTTGGTTGAGGACGAAGAAGGGGAGGACAAATATGCTTCTTTCTTTGCCTACATCTTCATCTACCTGCTTGCGCCGCTCCGTTTGCTGCGACGTTGCTGCCATACCCATCTGTCCGTCTGCCCACGATGGAAGGACTGGCGGATGTGGTGAGGGGTCTGTCGGTGTCTGCTAGTATGTGTTCCAAGTCCAGTCAGGTGAGCTTGTGTTCTCTCCCACGTACGTACGTGATGCCTTGTGTGTGTGTCAAGTCAGCCAACCAGTAGGCAGGACCATAATCTGTGTGTGGTGCACCGAAGAGCAAGTGGTGCGGTGTCGTCTGTCATCGGCATGAGGGCGGGTGAATGACTATGTATCAGTCACTTGTTTTTGATTGATGGGATTGTGGAAGTATTGTATTTGTGCCTCTCTGCTCTCGCTTGCCATGTCAGTAGTAAGGTTGGTTGACTCTGGCACCTTGTGTGTCCCTGTTGCCGACCTCACTGACAGCCAGTCAGTAGTGTCCCCTCGCTTACGGCGAACCGCAGCATCACTGATTGTGGAATGTGGTGTACGGGGGTTTGCCACAAAGCGGCACATCTGAATGTGCTGTTGTGACGTAAGCGTGCGTGTATGTGAGTGATGCGTGCATGCGGACAGATGAAGAATGGGTGCGAGTAAGAATGAATGAAACACCCTCTGTCCATCCGTCATCTGTCCAAAGTCAATTCTTGTGAAGCATAGTGCAATTCACCTCAAAAACATACCCAAACTATCATAGTAGCGTCATTCTTCTGTTTCTATGTGTGTATGTGTTCTATTTATTGAAACGGGCAAGGTTAAACAGGTAGGACAGACAATGCGTGTGTGTGTCGGTGCGTAAGGGAGAGAGAGAGGGGCGGACTGATGCGTAGATGCGTGCGTGTGACGGTGCCTGTCTGCCGGTGTGTAGCGGAGGGATAGACAGAGCGATCATATGTGTGTTCGCGTGCCTGCCTGCTTGTCCGATCGTGCGGGAGGAAGGGCGGACTGATGCGTGCGTGTGTGTGTGTCTGCACGGATAGCGATGCGTCGCCCTGACTAGCTGTGTACATAAATACATACATTTCTTGTCTATATATCGAGCTGTAATGGACGATGGTCAACTGAATGAATGAAAGATATATATATATATACGTCTGCGTACTAACCACAGGATGAATCCACATTACATCTGTGCGAAAAAGGTCGGTGAGGACCTTTCCTGTAGTTAGCTGAATAGAGGATCTGCTGGGCGGTAAGTCCCAGAGTAAGAGTGCTTTTACTTTAGTAAGACCGCCTTTAGTAAGACCGATGGACTGGCCAGTCAGTCAAAGTTGTTTCTGTCCATGTATGGCATCATGAAGGGTGGTCAACACAGATCTCACTTCGGTGATGGCTGATAAGATCGTGTCTCCTCAGAATGCTTTCCTTGTCTTCCCTTGTCTTCTCCTCTCTCTCTCCGTTACACAGCAATCTACCCTAGCTCACAAGCTCGCAGTGGTTCGTCTTGCCAAGCTGGCAATCCTGACACCCCCTCCCAAGACGAACCAGCACGGCGTGTACTCAGGAA